TTTTTCTGAGGATGATTCTTTCGCGTAAGTCAGGGGAGCCAGAGTCGAGATGACCTTTTCAGCATCGCTGTGAGAGCATCCGAGTGAAGAATTTCTTCAAATGGCATGCTGAAATAGTTTCTTAGTGCTTCTTTTCCTTCTTGCAAGAGATCAAGACTGGTAGGCAGGCCAGAGATTCAATGCCCGAGGAAGGTCCTCGAGACTTTTCCCTGTCTGAGAGCTTGGTCAGCAAGCTTTTGGACATTGAATGCACACTCGAGGAGGACTGAACAGATGTAGAGGATCCTGACAAACTTGGGGAAAGCACACCTTGAAGAGTTTACATCTGAGATTGAAGATGATGTCAACAGTTAGCCAAGAAGGTTTATGGCAAACCGGAAGGAGGGATAAATGATCTACCTCAGGTAATGCTCTGCTTTCAGTGGGAGCCGGTGGAGATTGAGGTGAAGGTCTTTTAGTCTCCGGATTGGTTGGAGGAGAGCTAGTAGATCGGACACCTTCGCCAACTTGAAAAGAATGCTCATTAGAAATGAGAGTCGTTGCAGCGGAGCGATTTGAGCATCATTGCTCGGTGTCACCGATTTCCCATGGTTGGTTTCCGGCTCTGCAATCAGAGGGCCTTCTATTCCATCCTGGTTAGAATTCATTTCCTCGAGTGGATGCTCTATTTCTTCTTGGTGCTCAGCCCTTGGAACTTGAACAAAAATGTCTTTAGTTGTTGGAATTTGATCTGCTTATTCTTTATTATTATACTTTATTCTTATATAAGTCTTTCAATTCAAACATCGTCGAAAAGACCAGCAGTGGCCTATTCGTCAATAACAACCTTCTTCTCCTATGAGATTTTTAGTTACCACTCCGTGGGTTTCGCATGATTAGGATCAATCAGAACAGCCTCACCCGCCCTGGAAAGCAGATCTGCCGATGGTTAGGTGGTTAGCGAACATCGCCTTTCTCATCTAGGACTTATACCTGTACACCTGCACCTTCTTCTTACGTGAAGGTATGTCATGCCCCACCGGAAAAGGAGGGAAATGTTCAGTTTATAGCCAGTGTTTTTGGAGACCTGTAGTCAGTCTTAGTAGTAACAAGGAAGCGAGAGTGCAGGCTCGCCTCGAAAGGTGGGAGCATTCCCGAATCCCTTGTGATTCTGGCCATGACAATGATCACTACTGCGAATCCTCATTTGAGCCTTATATAAATATAAATAACGAAACTTTTCCTATTAAGATTAGTGTAGTGTCTTCCTACAAAAGTCTCTCCTTAGTTTAGGTCCACAACTTAGTTTTCAAGCTAGGTCTTACTTCGCCATGTTCGTTGCTTGCGCGATAGCCTGACTTAAGGTTTAAGGTTAAGGGCGGAGATTTGAGTACGAGATGCTACTTCGAACTTTTTCTCTAAAAGACCAAGGATAGAGATATCTAAGTCGGAGAGTGAGCCTAGAGTGACGAGTGGAGGAAAGCGGGAAAAGTTCTATAACCTGGGAAACCCTCTAAAGCCGTCTTTTTGGACGGAAAGGACGAGTAGAACGGGCGCGAAACCTTCCTTCTTCGGCCTAAACCGAGATGGTGCAATACGAATGACTACTTTTGAAGTACCATGGAATTGGGGGGCATGGCACCAACACTCAAACAAACTATTCAAGACCAGATCAGAAAAAGAAAATACATGTTGAGAACGATGAGGCATCAAGAGCTAAGAAAGGGGCCTGGAACAAAAACTTCACGGAAAGGAAAATAAACCTTCCCTTAAGCCGAAAGCAGCTAGAGCAAGATCGACTGAGTACCAGTACTGCCTTGCCCAAAGCTACCAATGAAACTGGAACCAAAGAAAGAGAGACTTAGGCCCGAAAGCAAGAGAAAGAAGGTTTCGTTTACGACTGGAACTAGAGTAGCAGAACTAGCACGACGAACAATGCTCGGCACTCTGTCAAGTGAGCCCCTCTCATTCTCTATAAGCCCTATAGTAGCCCATAAGCATTCTACGCTCAATACCCTTTCTTCTCACGCTAATGAAAGCCCTTACAGAACAACTACTGCGAGAGTCTTTCTTTCCCCTATAGGATGGATATTCTATTAGGTCCAAGTAGTCACTTTCCAGAAGAGGCAAGGAGTCAAAAAAAAAAGGAAGCTAACGAAAGACAGAGAGCTCCACGAAAGAAACAAGCGAAGAGCGAGTTCAGTATACGTAACGAACAACATGCGTAGAAAAGTCCTTGACTAGTATCCTGCGAATCACTCAGGTGGGGCAGGAAGTGAACTAAAATTGATTACAAACAAGACAAAAAATAGAAATTCAATAATTGAAGAAAGGCAGGATGGAATTGAGGTTATGATAGATCTTTTATATTAGTTAGTAGAGCGGGTTCTCCCTCGGTGTCCAGAAAGCACCGGGATGAGTGTAGTTATTTTCGATTGTTTTCTAGACATCTTTTAATGATCTCGTACTAAGAAGCCCTCGCCTATAGACAACCAACACAACCTCGACTTCCTATCAATGAGACCTTTGGCCAGAGCTTTCTCAATCCTTACCTTATCTTTACCTTAGAACTCCGCATGCACCTTTGCTTTGCTTAACCTTCATAAGAAAAGGACGAGTTAGCTTGGGGATGATCCCCTCGGGCCTGCCCGGTGGAAAACGAATCAAAATGCAGTGTCTAGTTGCATTGGTAGGGAGGAATCGCTGAGCATACTTGAACTTGACCGAGCTCGAGTCAACCTTTTTTATAATAAGCTTTTTCTACACCTACCGCTTGCTTACTAAAACCCACAGGCTTCTTTCTCTATTCCCGCTGGCCTGTGCTATTGATAATGGAATTCTTCCTTCCCTATTTGCTGGAAAAGGAACTACATCCTCGGCTTAAGAATCAGTCTCGGCCTCCAAAACGAAAAAAGGAAAAGGCTTTTTTGTTCGCTTGCCGGCTTAACCACGCAATTTATATTATATACACGAAATTCCGTGCTTACCCCCTCCTTCTTGAATCCATCACCATCAGCCACTTTTTATCCTTGAGCTCCCACACAAAAAATGAAAAAATTGATTGACGGATGCAACCCAATAAAAAAGAAAGTAGTCGTAAAGGTTGGTTTCATTCCCCTCTCCGTAGGGAGAAACCCTTGTCCTTCACCTCTTTCTTCGAACGAGTTGGCAAAAGAGTTGATGCTAGGGCTTATGCCTTTCCAATGGCATCTGTTTTGTCTCTATCTTTTGGTGCCCTCTCCTTTTGTGCCGCCCCCAAAGCATTCATTCCTTTCACTGGCGTTCACCCGACCGAGCTTAACCGAAAGGCTATCTTGATAGAAGAGCTCCAATAGCCGCCCACTTCTTCCTCACCCTTGGAACCAACCAAGGGGCTTAGCCGACCGAGGTCCTATCCTTCCCTGTAATGAGACGAAGGAAGCGAAGCGGGCTGCTTGTCTTGCCTATTTATATGCCTAAGGAGTGAAAGAAAGACTATCCAAAAGCAGAAGCAGTAGTAGTTGCTAGTTTGATTTCTCCAGGCACGGAAGGAAGGACTATAGAAAATGAATGATCCACGCTTGGTTCTTTTAATATAGGTTAGATTCCAGGAGCAATAGACTTGGGAAGCGAAAGCGAAGCCGCCCTCAATTGACCTTGTAAGCTCTTCTTCTAATCTCCTTATTGAAAGTGCTTCTGTTCTGCGCCTTCGAGAAAGTTCAAACAAGAGAAGAGAAGGGCTAGTCTCTTAGCTATCCGAAAGGAAGAAAGCAGACCCAGACAAAAAGCTGTTTTCTTTACCCTTCTCTCTCCATTGAAGCAGGCCTTCGCCTTCCTCTTTTCATTGCTACTGTAAGCCAATCAGACAGTCCCTCTGTCTGCGAGCGAGCTCGAAATCAGGATTGTTAGGCAGTTACACTGCTAGGATAAGCAAGCCCATCTCTTTCCATGTAAGTTAGAGTGCTAAACCTAACCTAAACCCACTACGTGGGACTGATGTTACACCTAAGCCAGTCTGAAGCGCATTCAGTTGGATAAAAAAGGACATCCCTATCCTCAGGTTCAGATTAGATGTAGGCTCTAAAGAAAGAACTAGTCATTTTTTATCCCAGTATAGGCATCTTTTTCAAACCAGTCAAAATCCCTCCATCTCCATCTAGCGATGAGCCCTTCCGTCCGTACCTATTTGAAAAGCCGCTTGATAGCAGTCCCGTTTCCGCCAGTTCCTTTTCCCTTTTTGGTTGAGGGGAAAGATCGAAGACAAGACCTTCCAGGCATTTCCTTCAATCTTCTCCACCAGCGAGTGCTAGTTTCCCTACCAGTTGCCAGCTATCTAGTTGAAGTCTTCTTTCTGCCTTTTTCAGGTAGGAGTCAAGCAAGGCAGTTTTCTAGCCAGCTAGGACTAGAGCAAAGCAAGGTCAGCCTGAGGTCAATCCAGAAAGCCGGTAAGAGAGTTGAAACTGAGAATAAGATAACTTAACATAACTTAAGAGACTCCATTTTCTCTTTTCCAGCTTCTCCAATTGAGTCTATTTTTTCAGAAAAAGAAAGTGCTTTTGGAATCACTCAACCTTTCGATCAAGACAGGAGGGCATTGCTTCCTTTCACCGAGTGTGGGCTCGATCCCATCTCTGGTATCCCTTCCTCTAGTTAGTGACTTGGCTCCCCAGACTTCTTCCTTCTAGGCGAGGAATTCTATTCAATAGTAGCGGCATTCTTTTCTTGACTATTTGCATCTTTCTCTGAGTTGGCTGTAGCATTGAAAACTCTTTAAGCGGAATGAGAACAAAATCCTCAGCAAAAGACAAGTCCGCAATGGAAGAAAGAAACGGCCCTTCGAAGCGTGAAAAACAAATGCTGTAAATGAGATGACCCAGAATGCCGATCAATTATTGCTTTCAAGCCAGAGGCGAGGGACAACAACCAGTGCCCGGGGATGATGTTGATGCTGGACCAGCTTATTCACCCGATGATCAAAAGAGATTCCCAGAAAACTAGGACCTGAGAGAGTCCTCGTTGGAAGGCGAATGAAAACCCCCCAGCCATTCTCCTTGGGAACCCCTGATGAGCCCACCAGCTCCAGCCCACCGAGATGACACTTCCATCAAAGTTAAGCTTGACCCAGTCCCCTGTCGGCGGCTCCCATCTGACAAGAACTATAACTTCTTCTCGGTCTTTACTTGGGGCCTGCACTACTTCATTGCAGGTTCGACTGATGAGGTACTTCAGAGTGGCTGATTCTACTGCCTTGCTTTCAAAAGAAAAATCTGTTGCGGGCCTGACAAAAACTAGAGACCAGCACTGAGAGTCATTATCAGGCCTCATCCTTCCCGAGACGTTGTTATGAAGCCAGGTCTCCCTGTCCTAATTCCAAAAAGCAGAGGTGAGGCGATGAAATCCAAAAATCTGCCGCAGTAAGGCAGTCTCTAAGAACGTGTAGTACGTTTTCATCCTCAGTTTGGCAGACTGGGCACCGAGCACTCTGGGCCATTCCTCTTCTCTTTCTGAGACAGTTTGTAAGCAGTCTGTCTCTAAAGGCCAGCCACAAAAAAGTCTTTAAGCGCTGGGGCCCCTTCCATTTCCAGATCCACCTAAATCCCATGCTCGGCTGAGGTCCTTTATCATCTTCCGAATGGTCATAAGCCAACTTGACTGAGAAGGACCCATCTTTAGAAGCCCCCCAAAGCAAGACATCTCTTCCACCACTGCTTCTGTCCACAGGTAAGGCCCAGATCCTGCTCATTACTTTCCTTGGAAATGGGGTCTTCAGGCGAGACAGTACCCAGTCTTTATTCTCATCTAGAAGGTCACCAACCTTCAAATTAGCATCTTCCGGCTCCACCCTCTTCTGTACTAGTGGAAGGACGGTCTCATTTCCAATCCCGCCAAAAGTCCACCCTTGATCCATTTGCAATTCTCCATCTTATAAGTTTCCTGAAGAGATCATTCCCTTTCAAAATGCTTCCCCATTGGTAAGAGATCTTTCCTTTCGGTCTAT